ACGATGAAGGCGCTACACAAGACGAAATAGCTGAAATGTTTTCAATATCTACTAGAACTGTGGCAAGAATCATCAAGTTACGGCAGGACATAGGATCCTTGTCACCTAAAAAGGCGCCGGGCCGAGCCCGGAAAACTACACCCGACGAGGACGCTCGCCTCGCTCTGCTTCGGAGGCGAGCCCGTTCAAAACGGCAACGACACTCCGAAGGGAGCAGAATCTGGACGTATCAGCATCAACTGTAAAACGAAGGTATGTAACATTTGTAGTATAATACTGACACTTCCAGCGAAATATATCTCGATGGAAATGTCAATATTACAGAAATACAACTGTGTTAACGTCTTCTTGCGTATACAGAAATGTAGGAAACAGGATAATATATGTATTTGTTTTCATAATAGGTTAAAAGAACATAACCTGCACGGTCGTCGAGCAGCGAAGAAGCAGATATTAACTGAAAGAAACAAGGTTGATAGGCTGGGATTTGCCCAGACCTATGCTAACTGGACTGTAAATGAATGGGCGAATGTCGTGTTTTCCGACGAGACAACCTTTTGCTCGGAGAATAGCGGGACTATTTGGGTGCGCCGACCACCATCGACGCGGTTTGACGCGAAATACGTGTGGCGCACCCAACGTAGCGGTCGCTTCTCAGTAGGTGAGTTCTTACATTTCGTATGGTCGTCCATGTGTTATAAATCACAACTTGATTTGACTTTTTCTGTTTGCAGCTATGTGGGGCTGGATGAGTTTAGCGGGACCCGGGGAGTTGGTCAGAATTGACGGCCACCTTGACACAATCCAATATATCCAGATATTGGAAGATGTCCTATTGCCCACAACAAATGCAGTGTTTGGGGACACGCCAAGGTGGTTTGTGCAAGACCGCTCCCCGGTCCACACATCCCGAAGAACTCAGCAATGGCTGCAGCAACAGAATGTCTATCAAGACTCAACCTTCGATGGGGTTGATGTCTATCAGACATCAACCCCATCGAGCACATCTGGGCGAAAATTACTGAAGGGCCCATTCAGGCGGCAACCCCCGACGAACTTTGGGGCATAGTCATAGGTCGGTGGGAGAAACTGCGCGAGGGCATACTTTGCGAAAGTCTTGTCGCAAGTATGCCCTCGCGCCTGAGTGAGGTCATAAATAAAGGAGGCGATTGGACGAGGTTCTGACTCTCTCTTCCCTGCATCTGCAATGTATTTTTTGTATATTTGTGGTAAGACAACCACATTGATTGGTATTTGTAAATATTTAATAAATGTATGTAGTTATTTCTAATCTGTGTGTTTCTCTCATCAAAACGTTGCACAATTAAACGTTACAGTTATTATAAATGTTACTAGGCATATTATAAATGTTACTAGGCATATTAGTATTACCACGTGACAACTAGTAGGAATACGATTGGTGCGAAATTTTTTCGCTAGCAGAAAATCTTGACAGTTCCTAACTTCGAAGCGATTCGCCGAAATGGTAAAATTCGCCAGAAACAACGTCATGTCTGACGTGTTGTTCGCTGTTTTTCGCTTTCGCCAATGAATCGCGCTCAGTGTGAACTAAGCTTTATACCCCGTTCGCACCGAGCATTTCAATCTAGATTGTGACCAAGGTCGGCGACAATTGAAACGAGGTTCAATCGCGATCAACTCAAGAGAGTTCTTGAAACTAGATCCAGTCATAAGAGAGATCCCACAATCGCCAGAAAATACAATATGGCTGCGCAACACGTGTCGGGCTATCAACAGAGAAATAAAAAAGATACTGTATTTGGAGAGACAATGACATCTGTCTATTATTAGATATATGGGAAGAAAAAGTACTGTATTTATTTCTAACCAAAACTTCCATTTTGTTTGTTGGTGTTCGTGACTTACCGCGTAGTTATGTCAGTTTTATCATCGTATGTAATAGCCGGGTTCGAACAGCACGAAGTTCGACTGGCGACAGTCACAATCCAGATTGTAGGTAAATCGAGATCGAAGTGAGTCGTGGATTGTGTGCGAACGTAACTTAACGTAAAGAATGTGCACACATTGAACAGTTGATAAAGTGGAATATCCTAAAGTTTAGAATATTCCAGTTTATCAACTGTTCAAATTTGTATAACATTTGTTTAAGGACTTTCCATCATGTGGGCACTGATGTCTTTTTCTTATACCCATCCTGGATTTGTCCAAGCCCACAATTAGAGCGGTCGGATGATGAGGGATAGAATCTACATATCTGGGACAGACCACCCGCAAAAAAATTCCTGGGGATTGCTTGCCCGGATCGATCTCGGGTCGTCCCTGGGAGTGGTAAACTGACAGTCTGATGCCTTAGTCATCTCGGCCATTTTACCGATTAAGATTAAACACAAAATTCAGTCATTGACTAGTATCCTTTTTACTGTTAGATTTATTACTATGATGATCTACTTTTGAAAATAGTGTTATTGATTGACTCCGTGCAATAACAGACTATAATCGATAATAACAGTTGTTCCTCTATGTATTTATAGCTGAGTTGAACAGTTATAAAACAGGTTTATTAGTTTGCATAGCTTTATATAAATGTAACAGTAAAATTTATGACCAACGAAGCTATTTTTAATTTCCGTTCCTCTAGCGCAAGGGTGGGCAACCTTTTTTATAACATGGGCCAGAATAAATTTTACGTTTTTTCCGCGGGCCATAGTAGTTAATTGACACCTTGTGACCTGTAAATTTTTAGTCTGCAAATATGAAATAAATAAATAAAAAGAAATTAATTATTACAGTCGACCTCCCTATAACACTGTTGATTATTCCGTTTTATATGAATTCCATGTTGTATGGGTCACTTAGATTTTACAAATGCGTGTGCCGGGCTGTGAACGGCTCACCTATTTGTAAAATCTAAGTGACTTTAAACACAATAAAAACAGCACTATGTAGTTGGATACGACAGACATTACATTTTCTAATTGCATAGCTTTTGCACATAGATTTTCTTGATGGATGATGCGATGAGATATAAATAATTTAGAAAAATTCTGTTTTCCCATTTTTTGTTTGAATAAGGAAATGACTCCCTTATTTTTTCCTGTCATTGCTGCCGCAACACTTCAGAAAATAATATTCAATTTAAACTAGACGAATTACATCGAAAAATATTTATTTATAATTTCTTCTAAATATCTCGCGGGCCGTAGCTGGCCCGCGGGCCGGGGGTTGCCCACCGTTGCTCTAGTGTATAATTAAAACGAAATGCCAGTTACTCTATGACTATTTACAACAATTTATAAATCTATTTTTCGTTTTTGATTATTAACATTACTAAGGTAAAAATCATTCTTCCCTTTAACATCAATCTATATGAAAATATAAATTTATACGCATAATAAATGAAATATTTTATAAAATTTTAGTAATGGGTAGGTCATATATTATTTGTCTCTTTGTGCTCTATGGACACTAAAAAAGTGTCTTTAATTATACCCATAATGGGTTCTACCAAACAATGAAAGACGATGCCCGACATAGGCCAATCCGGAATAGATTACCCCAAAAAATTTCTGATGCTCGCCCGGATTATTTCCCGGGTTTCGCAAAGCGATAGTTGACGCCCCTAATATATGACAGCGATTGAACCGTCGTATATTAATTTATAATAGTATCTAATCTAACTTGGCTAATTAGATGAAGTAAAGTACTACTGTACTAATTTAAAGCTAGCTGTGTTTCTTAAGCTTTCACGCAGCCTCTTAAATTTTGTAAATGTGCTCATAGTATATCCACGAAATTCGTATTTTAAAGGAGTGAGGATCGTTCCACACTTTTACATGTATCTCAACAACAATCCTAACTTTAATACAGCTTAAGCGATTAAAAGTAAGACTATCCAAAACAGTACTGGCGCGAAACTTACATAAATATAAAATTAATAAGTTTTAGTGCTATAGTAAAGTAAATAATGACGGACTTTTTTTCAAGAAATATTTCATTACATTTTATAACTTTGTTTCTGTTACTAATTAAATATATATTTCTTTAAACATATCTAATACGGTGTCCTGATCTAAAGTAATGTTCAAGTTAATGTAATTCGAATGCAATAAAAAAACTGTATTAGATAAAATATAAATAATCTTATTACATCCTTTGGACCACCATGATGATTACCCAGTCCTAATTATGGATGGACGGGATAAGACGACGCAACATAAGCGATTTGCCAAGGGAGGATGACCCTCGGGAGAACTGTGGAAAATTGGCTTCATTTAGGTGTCAGGCACGTGAAGAAAAACTAGAAAAATTTCGCATGACCAGCCCATTGGTCAGGCTCGAACCAACGACCAACTATGTGTTTGGTATTTTATCCATTCTGCCATTGGTGAGAAGCCCTGACGAGGGGGGGAAGACGTTGCTGTAGCAACGTGTCCAGGTCTTTTTAAGGAAACCGAGAGCTCGATTTTTAAATAGATTTCATTGTTTCTTTGCAAGAATGCACTGTGGTGTTGAAGGAAGAAATATAGAAAAATCTCTCCCAAATAAAAGAATGGCGGGTCGGATCGGTTTGGGTCGTTTGGACGAACAGATGGAGAAATGTGGTTAGGGGAGGAGCCGGAGGTTTTATCGGTGCCCGTACTTTTCACTGAACTGCTGATAGCCCAATCATAATTATCATAATGGATATAAGGAAATTCGACTAAACGCTATTTATAATCGTTTAAAAATTTTCACCTATTAACAACTTTCGGAAAAAAATTTGTCATTATTTATAATTAAAAACAGAAACGTTATTATATAAAAATGACCTTTATTCCCAATAAAATTCTAAAATATAAAACAAATAAAAAAACATCATGGCAAACATTTTATAATAATATCTAAAAAAATGTCTAAATATTTATTTTAAATTATTTTAGAAAATTATTAAATATATAAAATTTTAAAAAGATCTATAAAAATTATTTAATAACTGGGATTTATATATGTATACATTCCTAGTTATGATATATAGCAGATTGAACATATGATATGTTGATTACTTTTTAATATTATTCTAATAAATGCTTTTGTTTTCAATTCTGTAAGAAGCACATTTGAATTTTCTTAATATTCTAGTATTATAAATTAAACAACTCATCTTTAAAAATATCCAAAAAGTCTAGAATCATAGAACACCGCGAAGCACATATTTTCAAAGCATGCATTCAATATGTTTCTATTCAACTTTCACGCAGCATTGCAGACTTGATAGGCGACATAATGTTAATGTTTTCCTTCACAAATTGACAAGAACTGAAAGGAATGAACAGCACGGCTTGACTTAGATTTGTTGTGGCCTTAAGTTATAAGATATAGTTCCTTCCCCTCTATCAAATAATGAAACAAATAAAAATGTGAGGCCTTAAACTGCAGCTTGTTTAGTTTATGTGCAATCACAGCTTTAATTAACAATATGTCACCTGTCAAGATATTGATTTCTATATACTCCATCGATTAAGTAAACAAAATATTACTTTTTGTCTTCAAATGCCTGGAATTGAAACGTAACGGGAATTATGTTCTTTAAATTTTTTCTAGACTTTTGAGATTATATAATTCACCAGATCATTTTTATCGTGTTGCATATATTCATTTTTAAAAAAAACTAATAATTTAAAATACATATAATACAATGATGTGTTAGCATAAATATCAGATTAGAATATTTATATATTGTATGATTTGTCCAGATCTCATTTACCAATTAAGGATACAGTAAAACCTCTGAACCACAGCCACTAATGGGAACATTAAAAAAATGGCCGTTACTTAGAGGAAGTCTCGTTGTTTGGAAGTTATTTCATATAAATTTTTGTTTTAAAAAAACGTTCCTGAAAAAATGGCCGCCGTTAACAGGTGGTCATTGTTGGAGATTCGACTATATTTTGTAATAAACAAACCACACGTGAAATACTTTGATATCAAAAGTTTCGTTTGTGAATTATTTAAATTTAAGCAATGTTAATTTTATGGTTATGATTATATTTTAAAATCATCAGAATATTTTATTTGATAAATTATTTTAATCGTGCAACAGAAATTCTTAATGACAATTTCATATTAATTTTATCTAAAGATATATTATAGTGTGGCTCAAACATTAGTTAACCTAGATATTTTTTTTACAAACATTTAAAACAGTTCGTACGTATATTTAATAAATTACTCGGTTAACTGACTTTTGGGTCACCTTTTATATTAATATATATCACAAAAGTTTAAATTATACGCCTAAGATTATGAGTATATGTATATTTAGAAGCCGTCCATTAATTACATGTACTGTACAGTTCAAGGATGGAGGGGATCGCGAAAAGTACAGTACATCATTGTACACGATGAAGAGGGCGAGGGTCGGGTATTGTCTACATGGAGAGTCTTTTAATGGTATTGGTGGTGTACTAATTTGTTCTTATAGGCTTATTTATTAGTCTTATGAATAAGCTATCAGAAAATATTTGCAGAACTTTTAAAGTAATTTCTTCAATGAACTGTCCATGTACACGTAATTAAAAGAGAATGTGAAAAGCACATCATTGTATACACAGGGCGGGAGGGCACGAAAACAGTACACGTAATTAATGGACGGCCCCTTATCATAATTATTAACTATTACAATGTAATTTAAAATTAAGATATTTTTCAAAGAATTTCTTTTATTAAAAATTGCTTTTTTCTTTTTTAAATTCGATGTTTCTAGTTACTGTGAATGGAATGAACTGTATGTAAAGTATTTTTGAATCAATTAGTATAATAATAATAATATTTAAAGAAGAGCCATGATATATTAAAAGACTTTTAAATAAATTGGATTGTCCTTGGTATAAGACTATCTCAAACAATTGTACTGTATATCCTCACTCTCAATATAAACAGACATAACTGATGTAAAAAGTTTTACGTAGTTCTCTTCAGAGTGGATATTTTTAGTCTTGCTATTGTTTAATTTGTATAGAAAATGATACAAAACCCCACTTTAAAGAAGAGCGTGTCATAAATAAAAGAAACTTAACCTTACTTGGACAATTAGAATAGGCGGAAGGAGCCATCTGACCTTTACTTTTCTCCGACTAATGTAATTATAACTCCAGTTTCTTGTAATAAAACTCTTTAACTAGCGGATATTTTAATGTATCTGGCTAAAGATTTTGCTTTATTTTTATCTTTTATTTCATAAAAAGATTTGGAATGTTACGCAAAACTTTCTGTATCATCATTAGGAAAGGAAGTATTAAACTTTTTCAGTTCGTCTCTAATTGCTTGAATAACTGATTGAGCGGGTTGACGAAATTTTAAAACTGTAGCTGTATCAATTTCGTCTCGCTTATTGCCTAACCTTTCTGTTTTATACGGTGCACGATAAGGATGCACGTCTACCATAGGAATAATGGATTTCGATGGTTGACTTTTGAACCTTGTCTGCGTGGCATAAGGTAAATTGACAGCGCTTGTAGCTATGATTGGTGCAGAAAATGGACGGAAACTGGGATGAACGAGAGACGAGGGTGACAATGGCTGAGAAAAAATATAAATTACAGAAAATATTTAGTATAATTTTAACGCTTGAGCTTGTATTTAAATTAAAATACTTCTTACCTGAGCTTGAGAAACGGAAATAGTAGGATATGTTCGATGTTCGAAAAGTTTTTCAGGTATAACAGGATGAGGAGAATGCTCCAGTTCTTGTTCCTGTATAGTGATTTTTTAATGAATAATTTAAGGAAAAACTTCATGATGTAAATTGAATTAATAATAAATGAATCTATTTACTTGCAGTTCTTTTGCCGGTTCTGAAATTTCTTCTCCCACTTTATAAATTGACCATACCACTCTGGGTTTTGTAGGAGGTTGTTTATGAGGAGGCATATCGGTAAAAAGAGGTTGATAGCTTATTTCGGCATGTTTGTCATCAGGCAGTGATTCAAGACTGAAATTTTTTACAATTTAATGAGTTTTAAAATGTATTCACAGATACAAAATTATCTATTCTATAAACAGATTTATAAGGTTTATTATAATATAATTGATAAGGTACAGTTTAACATAATCCAATTAAACTTTTCATGTAAATCTTATACCTCTTCGCGTTTGGATGAGTAGTTAAGTATTGATGTCGATTTGGAGATCTTAAACTGGTCCACCTTTGAAAATTATTACTCTCCGGCAAAACTTGTTTGTTCCTAAAACTAATATACATAACTTATTAAAGTTAATTTTATTCTTTTATTTTTAATTGCATTTTCTATACAGCTTACCTGCTATATATACGTTTAGGACCTGTAAAAGCGAAAGCATCATCCAAGAGATCACCAATTTTTTGTCTCACTTTACCTAAATGCATTTCTGCTTCTACTCTATCTGCATCAGTATCCGAGAAGGCATGACTTAACTATAAAATTACAATCGATTATTTAAAGTTAGTAAAAAAGAAAACTACGCAATTAAGTCAGAAAATCATACCTTCTTGTTGAACAGCGTATCGTTTTCGAATGGGGGTGCATCATCCGCCACAGATGAATCTCTACAACATAGTTAATAGTTATTTAATTAGTTATACAATTTGATATTTTGTCAAATATCAAATTGTAAACTAATTAAATGATTTACTAACAATATATTTTTCAATTTGTTTGCATCTGTTTTAGAAGAATCCATATGATCTTTCAACGCTGACTTATACTCTGCTTCTTCATCAGCTAATTAATGAAATAATCATTTCTCCTTATTCAGTACTTAATCCATTTAATAAATAATTAAATAACTTACAACTTTTCACATTTTCCGCCGGTGGATGATATATTTTAAATTCTTTTGAACTTTTATCTGGTGAAGATTTATTTGAAGTCACACTAGATAATGAAGAATCTGTTATATCTGATTCATAAGCTGGATTATAATAACCTTCAGTTTGTGTCTCAACAGTTATTAATAAAATTCTAAATAGAAATGAATATAATTTACGTTGTAAAATAGTTTTTAAGCTTTATAAAACATGCTTTATAAACAACAAAAACTTACTTTTCACTACTAGTTTTCTTCATTCTTGGTTTCATAATTTCATCTCTTTTCTGCTTTGAAGTTTTTGGTAATGCAGGTAAAGGCCTCTCCCATTCTGTTGCTTTATCGTCTTTGCTTACTATCTTCATTCGATCTGTATCTTCTTCAAATACCTAAGTAAATTATTAGTTTAAAAAGCAGTTTTATCAAATTAAAATTACTAATTTTTATGCAAGGCCAACCTGCTGTCTGTTTTGTTCACCGAAAGATTTCTTCCTATCAGTTTCAACGTCCAATTTTTTTGCATGGACGTGGCAATATCGACAATATAAAAATATCACACAAATTAGAAAGAAGAGAAAACATCCAGCTGCACCAATCACTGCATAAATTACCCAAGGTTTCATTTTCTTAACCTCTTCTTCCTCTTGCAAGTAGGCTGTTTTTGAAAAAATAACATTGTTTTAACGCATAAATAACGCATTAAATCTTTAAATTTAATAACATAGAAATTATATTCAACCTTCTACTTTAGTGATTACATCGTAAGAGATTATTCTTGAAAATTCTTCGTTATTTATGGTGTCCATTACGCTTATTGCTACTTCAGCCAAAATCGGTTCTCCGAGATAATCGACCGTATACACTAATTCTACCCTTTGATTTTTCCAATCGGCTATGTATCTTATGAACTATAATTTAGAAAATAATGATGATTTTACCATTAAAATTTGATAATAAAGTTAACAGTCGAGTCATTAAATGTACCTGAATTTTAATATTATCAGTAACAGATTCTTCTCTTTTGTTTCTAGACATCCTTCTGGAGCGCTTGAATGCCAAATCGTAAATTCTTTCTAATCGTTTCTTCGTAAGATTGAGAAAATTGCTTGGTAGATTCTTCGGTTCTGCTCTTATCACTGAAATATTTTCCAGATATTAATTCGATTTTTAATTAATTTTCATTGTAATTAAATCAATTACCTGTTCTTAACCAGTATCTCATGTCTGCTAAAGTGTAATTTTCAATCGAATCAAAATAAGGTACTTCATCTGTCACTAATGTAGATTTTTCTGTGCTGGACATAATTTCCGGTATTTCTGAAGAGATTAATACTACTTCAGTATGTAAAACTGAAGTATAATCTGTGATTTTACTAACGAGAAATCGATCCGAGTCAGTTTCTTTAGTTGTAACAGTAAGGTCACTTGAGGATTGATCAATATCGAAAATTGGACTAGTGGACGTAAGAGTATAGAGACTCGACAAACCTCTATCAAATGACTGAATAAGGCCACTTGAATCTTTTATAAAACGATCAGACAAGTCATCTGATGAAGAATCTGGTACTGATAAATGACGTCTGTAAGTTGATTCCTGACCGGAATAAATATCATCCGATGATAAAAACTGCTCCGTTGGCACATACAAAGATGTAGCACCGTCTTCTGTATTTTCAGATTGTTTAGTTACCGAATACGATGGGGTAGAAAGTATTAAAGTGGAAAAATCGGGTATCATTGTCGAGGATTGAATATCTGATGAAAGTAATTTTGATTGAAATGGCACTGATGTGTAGTGTAGAGATTTAAATGAGCTCTCGTCAATCGAAGGCAGTGGCGAAGAAAATTGCGATTCTTGAGAAGTAATCGGCACTTCATCGACTATTTCCCACCAACTTTTTTCCCTGAGTTTGCTACTTTCAAGTAAATTTGTACTACTCTCCTCAACTGTTGGAGTAGGTTGGACAATAGAAGGTTGGAAAATTAAAGTGTTAACTAAAGAAGAAGGGCCAGGATAGGGCAAGGAGAATTGGGTCACTTGCCATCCATTTAAATTGATATCCGACGAGTTTTCTATAGAGTAATCAATGCTGGAAAATATGGCTAGAGTAGGAGACATAATCATATCCGTTTCGAATTTTGTAGAAGAAATAAAATAACTATCCGACTGAACTTCTAAAGAATGGATAGGAGAAAGTGAAGAATAAATAACAGGAACTGTAGCGTGAAGACTTGCTTCTATATTGCTACTTAACTCATCTACACCATCTCCAGATAACTCTTCGATGTGCTGGTTTCTGTAATAACTAGGAATATCGCCTGGTTTCCCAACTATAAAATAAAAAAATCTATATATTAAAATTAAAATTTTGTAAAGATACGTTTTATAAATTTATCTTTCCGAAAATGTTGCTACTTTAATAACAAAAAGGCTACAGCAAGTATGAAAAAAATTTTAAATAAAAAAAAGCAAATGGATATCTTCCGAAAGTTCTATTAAGATAAGCACCGATGCAATTTGCCCGTTCAGTAAAGTACAGTATAAAAATATCGTGTAAGTGCCTCTGATCGATACTAATGTTTGGTTGCTGTATTAAATAATGCATGCAGATTTGATTTTTCTTAACTATCTAATCAAGACCATTAGGTAAATTAACTTGGGAGAAATATCAGATTTCCTCGGCTTTCTATGTAAATATTTTAACAGTATTGACCGTCTAAACAGGACGGAAAAAAAAGAGAAAAATCACTTATATATAAAGCAAATTTCCGGTTAAAATTGATATTCAGAAAGAAAATAATATAGCGATTTTTCATAAAGAAAAGAAAAAAAATTTTCATACAGTCAATTAGTTATTTTCGTGTTTTAAAAAACGAAAAATACCGGAAAAATTCTCAGAGATATTTAAATCACTCTCAAACGATTATGCTTACCGTTTATATGGTAAATCAATAAATTTTCCTTTACAACGTCCATTAATTATTAATAAATGAAATATATTTACATACTTACAAAAATTATATTTAGAATAATTAGAGAAATTTGTGATTAATGTCATATTTCTATAAAGTTTAATCGCAGAGCAGAAAGATATAAATGAAAACATTTACGAAGAAATTATATCCGTGTTTCTTTTACTAATTTTCCAAGCAAAATCGCGATTGCTTAAATAAATTTATCACGTTTCACGTTTATCGAAAAGCCAAAATACGTGTCCCACGTTATAAATGTATACACTTCATGGTAAAATTTTGTTTGTAAATGTAAGTATACAGTGTTTGTAAGTTCAATTTGTTTATAAAAAGAAATTACAGTTATATTTATATACCTGTTATACGGTATATACGCCTTTTAAGTTTTTAAGTGTATACATTTAATCTATTTTAAATTAGCATATAGGATGATCATAATTTAAAAAGACAGCCGCGCCAAATTTCGCCGTAGGGACTTAATTTTGAAGTAAGTTTTTTCCGTAAATCAATATTCAGGACAGTATGTATATCGAATTTGGTTGAAATTTGCTCAATAGTTCTTTCTACAGAGAGCTATGAACACCTACTCTTAATCATGATCATCCTGTAGGCTATTTAATATATAGAGAACATAAATTATTAAGGGCATCATTTCAAATGTTTTCAATGTATTCACTGATTATATTTTATACAGTAAAATCTGTGTAAACCGGAATTGCACCGTACCGAATGCTTTTTCCGTTTTGGCGGGTTTCCATTTTATTCAGACTCCGTTTTAGAGAAGTTTTACTGCATAAGATTTTGTATTGTTTTTGTATTTTGTTGTCATTATATCATATTTTAATATGATAATATTTTATAATTACATTCCTTAGTCTTTAAAAAATTCAATAGTTCATGTAAATATTTTGAATCCTTTCATAAAATAATTCGATTCCTTTAGAAAGTAGTTCATAAGTTCATGAAAATAGTTCGAATCCTTTACACCCTTCCTCCCTTTATTCATAATACAGGTATACCCTTATCCTTATTCATAATACACGTTTCAAATAGAATTAAACATTCAGAATTTTCATTTATTTACTAAATTATATATTTTTTAAAATATATAAACACCTAAATAAATGAATGTTCTCAATATTTAGGGCTATTATAACCTGTATTATGTGTAAAGCAAAGCGTTCATAAAAATAATTCTAAAAAATATAATATTTTAATAAAAATTGATAAATTTTTCCAGATTTCTTTTGTGGAAAATTTGATTTAAAAGATATTTTTTTAATTTAAAAGTTTGCTTTTTTTTTTAATTTAGTAAACTAATCTACTCTATCTCAATAAATACTCTAGTATAGGCCTATAAGTAATTCTGTAATAAATTATTTTCAATAATTTTTTAAATTTAAATACTAAATATTATTGCGATTATATTTATTGTATACATAAGAAATTATAATAATCTGATTGTTTTTAATTATTTTTTTTCGTTGATAAAAAATGGTGTTGAAACGGGGTCGGATCTATGTATCGAGAACAGATGGCTACATTTATGTCGTTCCCAGGGTGTGCGTGTGGGTGTTCTGTTTCGTGACGGTTCCATAGACTTTTACATAAAACGTTGCGAAATAAATTTTGAAGTTAAAAAAAAAAATAGACACACAGACACACACATGTATAGGTGAACTACTTCTAATCTCAACTTCAAACAGCAGAATTCATCTCAAATTTTTATGCTTTAATTAGCATTTAAATGTTATAAAGAGCAATTTTGCATGAAATTTACGTGTTATATGAAGTATTTAAATATGAATATCATAGTCTCTACATGTAATTCAGTTATTAATCGGTATATGAATTTTATACGACCAGAGCTGGACAAGTTTGTGGCGATAAGTTAATAACATATAACAGCCGCTTTTCCTCCACCAAATATTGATAAATGTGAAAATGTGAGGCCCTAAGCTGCAACATGTTAATTTACAGTATGTGCAAATCCAGCCCTGTATATAATTCAGTAGTAAGTAACTATGAATCATCATCATTCATATGTTTTAATAAATCTATATAAAGTATAGATTTACTATAAAATATGAATGATGATTCAAAATTACTAGTTTAAGACGTAAAACTTACAGTATATTCATTATTGTATAATGTTTCTCCTTAATAGATCGAACATATGGAACTGTTTATGAACAGTATATTAAAAAATGCACTGTATAAAAAGAAATACAGATTTTAGAATCTTTATTTTATAACATAAATGTGCTTAAAGTCTGCAATTTCATCTGCATAGAATGATAAATGCAGATAAGAATTATATTTTATGTTGTATTTTATATATTCTGACCATAATAATAATGTCGAATATATAAAAATATATTAGAAAATTAAATATTTATTAAACTAATTTTTATATTTGCTCAAAAATCTTTATAATTCTAGTAAAAGAATGAAAAATGAACACATATAGCCTACATATTATAAATCAATATAATAATGCTCTAAAATCATATTTTGGGTGCTAAAATGCAATATTTTGTTATGAGCAATAATTCCTTTTAAAACATATTTTATACATTAGAATAAAATCAAGTTATAATCTAATTTTAGTGCACTTAAAGGTGGATAAAATCGGCTTTGACTCACCAACCGTATTAACTTCGGCAACGAGCGCTAACCATCCCATTAGAAAATGCATAAAAATAAAATGGGAAAGAGGATTATCCATTTTTGACCACCATTATCTACTCATCAGACATTAAATCCTCAGATTCCACCAGAATACTCGTTTTTCATTCCATTTCCCGCCTAATTGTGTTACATCTCTCTCTCCCGTTGTGACGTCATCGGTTTGTTGATGTTGGTTGCCTGGTAACGCGCACTGCCTCCTACCGGATCTTCACTCTGTTGTACAAATTCAATCGTTTTATTTATTTATTTTGTTATTTTCTTTATATATATATAAGATAGTTTATTATATATATATATAGGGCATCAAGGTTATTTCCTTCTGTTTTTCATTATTTTTTTTTCTTTTTTGAAAGGTCCATCCTGTTGCACATAGAATCGTTTCACACCCATTTTCCATTTTTAAGCATTTGGTTACATTCATTATATCTTTAAAAAACTAAAAATTCGACAATTTTAGATCAATATTTACTTTAAAAAATAACTCTTTTTTATTATAATAAATATTAAATAATTTCCGCTTATTATTTTCATTTAAATATTTTATTCTAAATTGAACTAATTTTTAAAAAGTGCGTATGTGTTGATTTTAGGAGCTATTTTAATTGTAAATATTTTAAGATAAAATTTTACTTGTTTAAATTTATAAATATTTAATATGTCTAAAGATTATTTATTAAATCACAGAATTTTTCAATATGTTATTATTATTATTATGAAGAGTACAATTGCTCTAGAACTTGCATTACATATAGTGTTCGAAGAGTGAGTTAACTACGTTATTTACGAGAAACTTCAGTAATCTTTGTACATCAGAGTTGTAATTTTATTGTATTGAACAGGAAAGCTTCTCATTCTGAGCAATTTTTGTAGTTTTTTTTTTAGTAATAATTTCAATAAAACAGTTTGAATAGAACAGCAAGTTAGTCTATAAAATAGTTAATTAACTTTTGAATTCCTCTGTATATTATATAATTTTTTAAATAATATTATTCAATACTTGAATAATTTTTGTATACGTTTTATTTAAAAATAACTAAAGTTTAACTGAAATTAATTATATCTGCAAAACTCAAAATCTAAAGTCTGTGAATTTACAGGTGCATGAAAAGGCATAGGTAGAAGGTTTAGCAGAATCACTTGGTCTAGGTTCATACGATGAAGGGCCCCAAAATTTAGTATTTTACGTAAAAATCATTTGTATAGATCTCATTTAAGGGCCTAAGCTCTACGTTACTTCTCTCAGGTTGTTACAAATAACACACGATGATAATTGATTTAAATTAAATATATATATATATTTATGTCATATATATATATATATTTATGTCANTTTTTTAAATTTAAATACTAAATATTATTGCGATTATATTTATTGTATACATAAGAAATTATAATAATCTGATTGTTTTTAATTATTTTTTTTCGTTGATAAAAAATGGTGTTGAAACGGGGTCGGATCTATGTATCGAGAACAGATGGCTACATTTATGTCGTTCCCAGGGTGTGCGTGTGGGTGTTCTGTTTCGTGACGGTTCCATAGACTTTTACATAAAACGTTGCGAAATAAATTTTGAAGTTAAAAAAAAAAATAGACACACAGACACACACATGTATAGGTGAACTACTTCTAATCTCAACTTCAAACAGCAGAATTCATCTCAAATTTTTATGCTTTAATTAGCATTTAAATGTTATAAAGAGCAATTTTGCATGAAATTTACGTGTTATATGAAGTATTTAAATATGAATATCATAGTCTCTACATGTAATTCAGTTATTAATCGGTATATGAATTTTATACGACCAGAGCTGGACAAGTTTGTGGCGATAAGTTAATAACATATAACAGCCGCTTTTCCTCCACCAAATATTGATAAATGTGAAAATGTGAGGCCCTAAGCTGCAACATGTTAATTTACAGTATGTGCAAATCCAGCCCTGTATATAATTCAGTAGTAAGTAACTATGAATCATCATCATTCATATGTTTTAATAAATCTATATAAAGTATAGATTTACTATAAAATATGAATGATGATTCAAAATTACTAGTTTAAGACGTAAAACTTACAGTATATTCATTATTGTATAATGTTTCTCCTTAATAGATCGAACATATGGAACTGTTTATGAACAGTATATTAAAAAATGCACTGTATAAAAAGAAATACAGATTTTAGAATCTTTATTTTATAACATAAATGTGCTTAAAGTCTGCAATTTCATCTGCATAGAATGATAAATGCAGATAAGAATTATATTTTATGTTGTATTTTATATATTCTGACCATAATAATAATGTCGAATATATAAAAATATATTAGAAAATTAAATATTTATTAAACTAATTTTTATATTTGCTCAAAAATCTTTATAATTCTAGTAAAAGAATGAAAAATGAACACATATAGCCTACATATTATAAATCAATATAATAATGCTCTAAAATCATATTTTGGGTGCTAAAATGCAATATTTTGTTATGAGCAATAATTCCTTTTAAAACATATTTTATACATTAGAATAAAATCAAGTTATAATCTAATTTTAGTGCACTTAAAGGTGGATAAAATCGGCTTTGACTCACCAACCGTATTAACTTCGGCAACGAGCGCTAACCATCCCATTAGAAAATGCATAAAAATAAAATGGGAAAGAGGATTATCCATTTTTGACCACCATTATCTACTCATCAGACATTAAATCCTCAGATTCCACCAGAATACTCGTTTTTCATTCCATTTCCCGCCTAATTGTGTTACATCTCTCTCTCCCGTTGTGACGTCATCGGTTTGTTGATGTTGGTTGCCTGGTAACGCGCACTGCCTCCTACCGGATCTTCACTCTGTTGTACAAATTCAATCGTTTTATTTATTTATTTTGTTATTTTCTTTATATATATATAAGATAGTTTATTATATATATATATAGGGCATCAAGGTTATTTCCTTCTGTTTTTCATTATTTTTTTTTTCTTTTTTGAAAGGTCCATCCTGTTGCACATAGAATCGTTTCACACCCATTTTCCATTTTTAAGCATTTGGTTACATTCATTATATCTTTAAAAAACTAAAAATTCGACAATTTTAGATCAATATTTACTTTAAAAAATAACTCTTTTTTATTATAATAAATATTAAATAATTTCCGCTTATTATTTTCATTTAAATATTTTATTCTAAATTGAACTAATTTTTAAAAAGTGCGTATGTGTTGATTTTAGGAGCTATTTTAATTGTAAATATTTTAAGATAAAATTTTACTTGTTTAAATTTATAAATATTTAATATGTCTAAAGATTATTTATTAAATCACAGAATTTTTCAATATGTTATTATTATTATTATGAAGAGTACAATTGCTCTAGAACTTGCATTACATATAGTGTTCGAAGAGTGAGTTAACTACGTTATTTACGAGAAACTTCAGTAATCTTTGTACATCAGAGTTGTAATTTTATTGTATTGAACAGGAAAGCTTCTCATTCTGAGCAATTTTTGTAGTTTTTTTTTTAGTAATAATTTCAATAAAACAGTTTGAATAGAACAGCAAGTTAGTCTATAAAATAGTTAATTAACTTTTGAATTCCTCTGTATATTATATAATTTTTTAAATAATATTATTCAATACTTGAATAATTTTTGTATACGTTTTATTTAAAAATAACTAAAGTTTAACTGAAATTAATTATATCTGCAAAACTCAAAATCTAAAGTCTGTGAATTTACAGGTGCATGAAAAGGCATAGGTAGAAGGTTTAGCAGAATCACTTGGTCTAGGTTCATACGATGAAGGGCCCCAAAATTTAGTATTTTACGTAAAAATCATTTGTATAGATCTCATTTAAGGGCCTAAGCTCTACGTTACTTCTCTCAGGTTGTTACAAATAACACACGATGATAATTGATTTAAATTAAATATATATATATATATATATATATTTATGTCACTCACTTATATATATATATATATTTCTTCTTTAAATTAGTTTATTAATTTTATAATTTTTAGAATTCTTTTTTGTTTGAAAGCTAAAAATAATTTTCGTCTCTTCAGTTAAACATTGAAGAATTTGCATAAGTGTCTCCATCTGTCGCGAATAATATAATATACAGAATATACAAAAATAATTTCTTATATATTATCACGAATATGTCGAAACTGATTATTATACCAAACGTACACAATTTATTAAATTTTTAAAAGTTTTATTTTGATTTTATAAGACTAGATACATTCACTATAACGATTTAATAATTGTGTATATATGTGTATTTATGTATATACAAATTAATGAAAAAACTAAAAATAAACTAAATATTTTCGAGAAAATTTATCACTTAAAAAAAAAGTAAACAGCAAACGTAAAAATATTATAAAACTGATACAATTTTAAAACAACAGATGGCGCTACATTCTTTATAGCGGAAGAGTTTTGATTTTTTTTCAAAAAGAATTTGATTTTTTCTCTTTGTTTTACACAAACATAACTTACAATAAGTTAATAATAATACATTATCATTCACAAAAAAGGCACTTTGAATATGGACGTTTCGATAAATTGCAAATTTGTGCGTTAAAAATATGCGTTTTTCTTGTATTTTTTTCCATTTAAAAACATTCGATTCGTCTCCTCGATGCGATATATTTTTATATCATTTAATTCTAATCAAGAAACTTTTTTGTGGAGCAAATCACTTGTTGAACAGGAAACACAGGGGAGAACACAACAGGAAGTCGTTTAAGTCCTGGTATGTGTGAAAATCCTTAGTTAGAACCATAAGTACGGTATTAATGTAACATAATTACGCAAATATACTCACTTGTTACAATACTGTTGGTTCAGTATTTATGCTGTGATAGGCATACCCGATCTTCTGTAAGAAACAAGAAAAAATATTGTGTAGATAATTTGTTACCATTGACATAGAGAGAAAGGAATACAAAAATTGCAATCCCTGCTGTTTTAGAGGTGCGTTTATGGTCACCTCCGATCGTTAACAATAGAAGTTTTCCGCTTGAATTGTTCGGTATCAATTCAGAAAATAGGGGAGTAGCGGATGCACATCTCTTTGTTGTGCACCGAATAGTGCTAGGTGATTGTCCAACACCTGGCTATTGGCAGGTGAAAGGGCTCGAGGACATGTCAACGTACTTTATAAATTAACTGTGACAGGTGGAAAAAGTATGACCCGAATTTTCGAATCTTTATCGGATCAAAATAACTATTTGTTATCAACGCGATTATCACCAAGCAACAGTGGTTTTTCTGCGATTATTCCGGAAGTAATAATTTTTTTACTGTAATTTTAATATTTAAAATTGAATTTTCGTATAAATCTCATATTGTTTATGTAAACATTTATGTGATAAATATGTTGATAAATAAATAGCCATTTATTTAACTAGCATTATAGAGTAAAATATTCAAAACAGTTCTGAGTTTCTTGGAAATTAAAAAAAAAAATATATATATNCAGTTAAGAACAAAATTTTTTTAAGGTTTTAAAAGATTTTAAGATGTAGAAGTATTCATAATAATTTAAAAATTTATAGAAGATTCATTGTTAAAACCTGAGCCTCTGCTGTCAATACTAATAACTGAAGGGAGAAGATAACACGAATTCTCGAGATACATTCCATGTATATTGAGAAAGAGAGAATGTTCCAATGCTTTCATGTTAACAATTGCGCATGAGCTGATGTCTAGAATAGTCTTTGAATACATGTCTAAAATTATAATTGCTTTAAAACAGTATTTTTAAAATGTTCAGTTTTAATAGGTTAAATTACACATTTAATTATCTTATTATCAAAGATGAAAAATAAATTCAATTGCATATTTTATTATCCTATTTTAGACATAAACTAACAACGTGTATTATTCAAACATTTGTAAATAAAAGCTATAATGTTATTTATTAATGTTATATAATTATTATACTTAAATTAATAATTATGATTTATTTAAACATTTACCATTCTGTCGTTTTTGCACCATCTGTTTGCTAGAAGGAAAAACGTTACACAACATAAAAACGTTAAAACAACTCCAGAAGACAATATCAAAAGGAACTTCTGCTGATTCTTAACCTCATCATATTGATAACCTGAAATTAAAAACAATTAAAGTATAATTAAAACAATTAAATTAAAAGAGAAAATTATATTTAATAGTTTAGATCTATTCAATGAAGGAGGGCGGAAATGAGAGAACATAATTTGACACCTAATGTCTCTCTTTCTGCAGAGTTAGCAGACCGACAAACTGTTATTTGCCAAAAAATGTTCTCTTTATTCTACTGTTTCCCGTCTGTAATTGTGTTGTATTGTAACATATTTTTGAGAAAACTCTAGTTAATAGACATCTTGGTGGCATCAAATTTACTTACTTTCAGACAGAGGCTAGTTTAGCTTTCAGTATTAATATTTTCAGTTGTATTTGGCATTCTAAAAATAATTTTTATCAACTAATATAAGCTTATAATTAATATCCTATCACTTATGTTTATTTAAATGAATCAATGCTTTGATTACGTCGTGCAGCTACTGAAATAGTAATTATCCATTATTTGAGATAAAAAATACGCATTTAAATTTGAGAAGAGGACCAATCATCCAGGTCGCCACCCTACTAAACAACTCGCCACCTAAACCAAAAAATATTCACCAAATTGATGGATGCCATTTCCGGCGAGGTACAAAACGCTCAATAAGATCAGTGTTACTAGTTTTACTCGCCAATTACTCGTCCGTGTAACAATTATTCCGGCCAATTACACATTGTCGGGGAGATAGTACACATCCGCCAACCAGATAAATAAAATAAAATAAAAAAAATTTGAAGAGGAAAAATAATTTTCACGTTTGGAAGAATTTCAATAGGTTGGTTTAAAGAAAACCAAAAAATATATTGCTATACCGGAAAAATAAAAATACTTTCGATTCAATAATTTGCTCCTCTCGAAAAAAGAAAAAAAATAATGAATAAAATTTCCTTTCGCGTTCCTTTCGTAGTTAATTTTATTTATTTTTATTGATTCATGTGACAGTTTCCGCTGGTGATGTCATGCGACCTTGAAGAGAAATAGAGCGAAGTAGCGATGAACCACCGGTATCAGCTGTAGTCGTCTACCAGATGGTGCAGTTCTGTCCTACTTCATCATCATTACCGATTATTCGGTGACTCGAGAATCACACGTAGACCCGACACCAAAAAACCGGTGCTACCCTTATCTTAATGTATCGATATGATTAGTGAGGCCTGAGAGAGGAAAGGGCGATGGGAAAAAAAGTAACATTTGACGAATGGGTTGATGTTTTGGTGTATATCCCTATTTAATATTGAAAGTAAAAATTGTTTAAATTGTTTACTTTTCCAATTCTCCAGTTGAATGGACTTCCTGCTGTTTACAAAACCAATCTGGCATTTTCGCTGATAATCGACGTTATGCGGACCTTTATAAGTGTGGCACGAGTCGCATATCGTGTCGCGAGTCGGTTGGCAATCATGAGCGACGTACAGTCCGTCTCCGCATTTTGAGCACAGGTAGCACTGTTGCCTGTAGGAATGATGAGGCTGATAAGTGCCAGGTGGACAAGGTAAACACTGCGCGTTGCGGTGTCTGTTGCATTTCTTCCATAGCAACTCTCCTGGTGCACACTTGTTGCATTCGGCAAGTAACCCGTGCCTATGTCGTCCCGAAACACGTAACTGGAAAACAGAAGTAAGTGAATTTCAAAACGAATCTGAAATTTTGAATATTTTAAACAATTTTACCAGTACATAAATGAACAAAAAACACACACAATTTTCTCCATCTAGCATGAAATTGAATTCATGAAAATTCAGATTTTTTCCCTAAAAATGCTGTTAACTATCCATCGGTTTAGAGTGGATACCATTTCACTTTAGTCCTACGAACCCAATAAAATTTTTAAATATTAAATAACTTGTTATTGTTAAAAATCTTTTCCCGGAATATCTCTTTATTCAACCGAAAAAACCACTCTATATTTAAAAAAAGAGAAAGTTTTACGAGAGAAATCTTTATTGCAAGTTCATCATCTATTATATCTCGGAGCAATTTCAGTTATAGTTTCCTGTAAGCTGAAACAAGAAACAATACCAAGGATAAGTTAACACAAGACACGTAACTCAATTTTTTAAGCATTAATCTTCTTCAAAACGAATTCCAGACAAAATAGGTAACTCATTAATTGTTTATAATTAAGTAGAAAAAAGTGGGTCAAACGTTTTCATTAATTTAATGTGTCTTTTAATCCCGTAATTAATTCCCCGAGAGGGAATATTATTGCGACATCAGTTTCTATAGGAATTAACCTTGCAAAAACGGCCTTGCAAATGTAGAGTTGGAAGAAAATGATGAGAAACATGTTGACCTTCACCATAACCGAATTAATATTTTAATTTTCCTAATCGGATTGATACATGTCATTAAATTGTAACAGCTACACATAGATTTAACCTTGAGAAGTGGCCTCCCGATTGCCGATTAACGATCGATTACTGCTTTAAGCAGCATTCCTTTTTTTTCGTCCCCTCTTTAACTAAATAAAACCCATTTCGATCCATCAATAAAAATTTTATACATGTAAAAATGTTTTAAATTTTTTATCGTAATTGGAAAAAAATATATTACATAATAAAGAAGCGTTTTGACTTACCGTTACTTCTAAACAAAATAATACTGATGAGAATAACAGGCAAATTCTCATTATTTTCTCCTTTATTTTGATATTTTTTTGGCTACATCCCAGTATGGAGGAAACAAATCTGTTATCGTCCTATCTAATAAGATCTCGCCACTTCGACTGTTTCGCTTTTGCTCGTTTCGTCTATTTATATAGTCGGCCGCTAGAGGCGCCCTTAGGACAAGGTGAGTAAAGTAAAGGTGACCAGAGAATCAAGTTCGGATTTAAGCCTTTGTCTTACGTAAAAAAAGAGGAAAAAAGATTATTTAAAAATGACACATTTTTTAAACGCATATACGTTAAAAACATTTCAATTTAATAAAATTAATTTCAGTTCATTTTTTTCTAATATATTTGAAAAAATATGTCAAAAATATCATAAATTCTTCGTTAAATCTCATTCGTATTATATTTGTTCCCTATTTCACTCCTTAATTTGAAATACAAATAATAACAGATCTATTAACCTTGTGTTCGAATCAGTTGAAATACTTCAATTTTAATAATGTATATCACGCTAAATTTATTCATTTTTGACATATTCTACAGAACAAATACTAGGTTAACAATTTAATTATAATTTTATATAGGTAAACAGTAGGATGATATGATTAAATTTATATATTTTACACAAAGAAACATTTTGTAAGGCAGCTGCATTTAAAAATATTGAGTAAACAGATACAAGTTAACTTTAAAAGATTGCTTCTTAATTTTAATAAGCAAACATTCGGTTAATATTACTCGGTACTATGAAAAAAATGTCTTAAAAAATCTGCGAGACAGATGGTAGATTCATCTGTCGAAGAGAACAGATGTCGAATTCTTTTTCCTTCCTCCATATCAAAAATAATTTTATGAAAACGGGATAGAATAACTGAAAACTATTACTTTATGAAGTAATTTTTTTCTAATTCTACCTTTCTAAAATAACATCAATGGTCATTTAATGAAAAAAGGGGCTACGAAAGGGAGTAGAAACAATCGTTCTAATGACCGGAGGGTGATGATCCGCAGCTGTTATAATTCACCATCTCTTCCGGGTTTGTTAGAAGTAATAACAAAGAAGATATAACAACTGAAGATTTACATCGAAAAATACAATCAAATTTTATAGATAAAGTCAAAGAATCTAAGAGGACCACACCCTAAAGAGGCAGGTGTTGCTAGCCAAGTTCTAAGAGCTTAGAACAACATGTGCTTGATACATTTCAAGATTTCGACCTTCATTTCTCGTGGGACAAAATGTGTTCGACGTTTTCCTAGCCGCAGAAAATGCGGAAGTTTATCTTAAGATCAATACTATATATCCTTGAAAGCATGCGAAACAAAACATTCATTTGCATAAATCTATTATATAATGAAATCGCCTCTATGGATTCATCGATTCGTAACGTTAACAAACAAGAGTCGAATGAATGTGACCATTCATTAACCTTAACATTATCCATTAAGTTCTTTATGAAAGTCGTTAAATGTCGTCTGAATCATTCACTCAACAAAACACATGGGTCAATCCGGGTCGTTTTCATTTAGTTACATTAACAATGACAGGTTCATTGGCTGATATTCGAGCCTCTTGAGAACCATCTGTTGTGGTCATCGGATCACTATAGACATCTGCCTGACATAAGCAGATGTTGTTCACTAGCCTTTAGGTAAAGAATTGATTGCACGTGTCAGGCACGTGTCTACCTGCCTAGCTATGGCAACGAAGAATTGGTCTTTAAATACCACCTGGTGCTTCGCTAACCACATGTGGTTCTGAGATAAAGGGGTTGTTAAATAATGTGGGTTATTAAATATGACTAACAAAAGAGTATATTTCAGATTGACTTTTATCTATTGGTTAGATAGAATCGTTTACAATTAATTCTAAGAATATTATTTCGTAGAAAAGAATACATTTTGTGAACGCTAAATAGACACCTAAATTACATAAACCCGGAATTAACTCTGAAATGAATAAATGAATTAAATTTTTTAAAAGTTTCGATTCATTTATAACATCGATCATAAATCGCTTCAAATTTTTGAGAGATCTTACGAAATCAAACTGTTTTATTTCGAAGACAAAAGTATCTGTCAACAGATGCACGTGGCAGATGGTACATTGGTAGACTACATATGGCGCATGGCAGTCGAAGAATCTTGTAATGTCTTGTCTATGTGGAATTATATAAAACGTAGTAAGATCTCAACAATACAAAAGAAATAAATACGTATATAAACGTGTTCTTTAAAGTCTGCTTATAGAACTAATTACACAATTAATTATTATAGAAATATAATTTAAAGTATATACATTTAAATAACTATTAATGTGTATGTGTTTTATAAAAACATTTCGAACTTCTCAACTTTACTTCACTTGTTTTTAACAAAAAATATTTTTAAAAAAATCCATTATTATGAATAAATTAAATCAAATATAAATACATTTTTAAAACACAATACGTAATTACTAAATTTAATTATTGGTTATCGATAAGTACAGTACATTTTAGAAATTTAAATTGTTAAATAAAATATTTGTAAATTTAAGAATAAAAAAATATCTAACCTTAATCTTTGAGAATCAAACATTGTAACCAATAATCACAACCAGTAGACTAATGCTTAGCGACTTCACCTATTTAGAGGCCCACTATGTTCATATCAGTAGCGAATCCAATGCCATGAGATAGTATTTTCAGCATGAATTAAGGAAACGCACCATCAGAGGTCCGGGTTCACTCTCGTACATCTTTACTATCTTTATCAACCTTTTTTTTTTTGCAGTAAACTGCAAAGAAAGAGGCTTTGAAAGTGTTGAACTTCTTTTAAATCTCTTAGGTTACTGTGAGATTTAAGTATTTAACGATAAAATTATGAATGTAATATTTCGTTTCTGAGTAAGTAGCGTGTCTTGTCAGACCAAAGCTTAATATGCTGTTTTCATATCTTTTCTAAAAGAGAGAAAATCCCTCTTATAATCTTTCGATTCTAGATTTTATACAGCTACAGAAATATTAATTTTAAATGAAGAATGTTTATTGTTTTCACTAAAATTGTTTTAATTTTACCATGAACGGTATATAAATTGCATAAAGAGGAAGTTTTTATATATGAATTATGTTGGAGTACACGAATACAGTTAATTATTACATAAATCTTACTTATAGGCCTATAACTAGTATAGCATAAATAAATTATTAATTATACAGATATGATATTGTATATCTATTGTACAGGGACCGACCATTAATTATGTGCACAGTTTAAGGGATTGCGAAAATTACATCATTGGAAGAGATGTACACAATGGAAGAGAGGAAGTCGAGGCATTGATTGAACTTTGTAGACCTTCTTTTAATGATATTAGGAGCGTACGAATTTTGTTCTTCGAGCTTACTTACTAGTCATGTGAATAAACTATAAGAAAATATTGCATAACTTTTTAAAGTCGTTTCTTCAATGTCAGGGGCTCCATGAACTGTTGTTGTACAGTACACGTAATTAAAAAGAGGTAGTTTGCCAAAAGTATTGTACAGTACATTATTATACACAACGAGAAGGAAGCGATCAAACAAAATTCAAAAACTGTACAAGTAATTAATGGACGGATTCCGTTTGCACATATGCTACAAGTATACATAAGTGTGTATGTGTACTTTGGATGCAATGTAGGCAGAGAGGAACGAGGATTTTTCCCCGAGTGAGAGAAAACTTAACGGATCGTAGTGGTTCCTATCTTATAAATTAATGTTATTTTTACTAACAAATATTTATGATTGTCATTTATTAATAAACATTTTGCAAATGTAATTTGTTCCAAAAAATGACTAAAGGGATCCACTAAAGGGCAAAAAAGCACTCACTCTACTCTCAAGCTCTGAATGGCACTGGCTGTACTGTACGTATATTTCTATCATACACATATATTATACATCATGTATAATTAATTTATATAATATTAATTATATATATTATATATTGCGCAATATCAACGGTATAAAATTATATATTATAATAAACATTTATTAATCTAAGACTTGAACGTTATTTTATATACTTATCAACGTTCTTATCTAATAACAATAAAAGCAAATATTATATTTCAAAGTTCTTTTCTTTATCTTTACCTGTTATTAAAAAAAAAAAAAAAAAAAAGATTGACGTGATAATTTACAAACGTAAATAGAATAGCACTTGCCGTCTTGACGATCATGATACCATCTGGTGACTAGAACTGCAATTATTAGAAATAATTTAATCTATTATAATAAATAATTAAAACTCATAATTACTAACTAAAATTTTATAATAATTACTATCTATATTATTTTCTTAAATAAAATAATAATCGGATTGTGAAATTATTTTTAAATATTGTATAATTATTATTATTATTATTATTATTATTTATTCAACACAAGGTATTTTGAAAGCTTTACTTTGTATATTATCATCACTATTAAAATAAAAATATTTAATTCCAATAATTCAAATATAATTATTATTATAATAATTAAATAATATTTTAAAAGAAAATTGATAATGGTATTAATAAATATTTTTATCTTGTTAATAGAACGTAAATAGAATAAATTAAATTTTATTTGAAGAAATAAATAAATATTTTTTAAATATTAGTTAAACTTAATCATATCAGATGGCGCTGCGTTAAAGAAAAACTGATAAATTCCAATTAGAAATTAAAATTTGTTAACCTAATTAATTTTACTTAAATATAATTTAAGATGATTGGAATTAATAAATTATATAAAAATAAATTAAATTGGATGAAACTGAAATGATTAAGAAAGCAAAGTGTAATTATAAAAATGGCGAAATGGGGGATTACAAAGAGAGTCGGGGGAATATATAATTGTTTAATGATTTTGAGGGGGAGAAAAATGATTTCGCTTCTCTTTTTGTTGAACGGTGGGAGGAATTAATTATGAGTAGCCACCAGAGATCGATGCGATCGTCCCTATCAAAAAGCCATTCTGACCAAAGGTTTTTCTTTCCCCTCCCCCTCTCGTACATCTAGCAGAGATACACACATACTGGTAATCCTTACAATATTAAACTGACATTTCTATGGAACTGCTATCGCTTTGGCCAAAACCGGAAATTGAAATGTAGATAGCGGGTTGGGCAAATAAAGAAAAGGAAATTAAATTTTCATCGAACGCCTGCAAGATTTTTTCCACTTTCCTTTCTTTCTTTCCTGCACACTGTCGTCCATTTACTGATTTACTTTATACATTGGCCAATGTCTCGATTTATACATGCGTATTCCTACAGTTTCGCATGTTGTACCCAACAGGTAGATTCTCCACTTGTCTTTTGATTTTCAAGTCTGAAAGACTTCGATAGTGAGAGCCACAGCGATTATATAAGCAAAGCATAACACGTAATCCTTGGAATATCAAGGGATTGTGCCATAAGTCATTAGACTTTAGAAGGATCCCTATAAGAATGCATCGTAATCTTTAGTACAGGTTTCTATGAGCAGAACAAACTTTTCCGATCTCTTTGGAGATTCAAATATTCATTGCAAGTAAAAATAAATTTAGAAATTATTTAAGTAAATCCTAATTTTTAAGAAATATTCAACTCCAAATGAAAACAAAAAATAGTTTAAAATTTTATCTAATTTTTGAGGCATTGTTAAGATTTTCTACGAATACATAAGCAATTTTTTTAATAACAAAGCATTCATTTTGACTGTTTCCGTTATTTTTTTAAAGTATTTTTCCTAAATTCGATATTAATTTATTGAAATTTTCAGCCAATTTCCATAAAACATCATCATACTCCTATTGTATAATACATTCCACACAAGATACCAATATAAAAGTACACTCTACTTACTCTCTAATCTACTCAAACAGATGTTGAAAATATTTTAAGTGGAAGAATCCCTTATTCTCAATAAAAAATCCCCTTCTGATAAAGACCTGCCTCCATCAATCTAGCGGATGCGGAATTTTGCATAATATTCATTCTTCCTTTATCTCTCCATCAGACTAAATTCTTGACGTCATATTGACGTACATTTAATAGGTCTTTTGGGCTGGGAAATTGCATTAAATGATGAACATGATAGGTCTTAATACCGTGCCAGACGATGCACTCCTGCAAGATGAACTCTGACCCATCCGACAGACGATGCGTCGCATTTCCATAATCCCCGCCCTCCATCTGCGCTTGCGTACTTGTATTGTACTCTTGCTCTGAAATCCCTTTAATGACTTGGTGCAGGCGGAAGGAACGAGATCTGTCTTTTCTGTCTGATTGGAGGATTATTGGAACATCTAACTACTTGACGTCGGAGATAAACAACTGCTGTCAACCGTTATTGTGCAGCTCAGGCGGGACGTTGTTAGTAAATAGTGTTGAACACGTGACGTCGAAATAATCGATCACGCTCGGATGAGGACGAAAGTAACAAAATTTCTCATATACTACAAGTTACTAGGCAGCTTAATTTTTATTATAAAGCAGTAACAGCTATTATTACGATAGCAACGGTAGCCTTTTAATGGGCTGTAACTACTAGAAGAGCGGAGAGAGTAGGAGTAACCCCACATCCTCTCACATCTGGTCAGCGCTGACTTTAGTTCCTTTTAAAACCTGCAGGGTGCGCTTTCATCCCGTAATTGGGTATCTAGTGTGAGAAGCGAAGCGGAAACTCCACCACATGCAATTCTACCATACTTTATTATAACATAACACAATACCTCCGACTTATTGTAATTATTTAATAAAATCCCGGTGGTGTTACGCTCTCCTAAATTCGAGGCCATTGCTTTCTATAGATTCGCAAGGTGGCGTTATGTAAATAACGACAGATGTCACTTTCGTTTTATGCCGCGAGGTGCCGCATAATAACGGCTTAGAGTGACATCAAGCGGTAGAAAACGACACCCTTTTAGTTCTTTTTCATTTTAATTACCGAAAAAAAAATTGCACAGAAAAATCTACTTTATAAAGATTCCATTCGCTGTCAGATATTTCTCTCTTTCTCACTCTCTCCAGATAAACTATAGGTGTGAATTACTTAGCAATTCAAAAATTCTCTCCGACAAGGATATAGTTTCTCCGCTTCGCTCTGATGAAGATGGAACGCAGTGTCACAGCAGCGCTCCCCGGTGCCTGTGGCAGGCAATCAACTGCTCTTCGCCAATCTCCACAGCTTATTATCTTCACTCCCCCCACTCTTACGTCCTATTGCCTAGACAGGGTTACAAAATTAACGTTCAGGCGTCATAAGTTTGTAAGCCAGAATCTTCTCTTATAGCGTTTTATTTGTCCAAGATAAATTGAAGAGATAGAAGACAGATCAGTTTACCAGACGTCTATGCTATACTAGCAATAGGTAGTTTCTGACAAGTCGATTTTGCTCCCAACCATGCAAAATGCAAAGTTTACATTATCATTAATTATAAAATTTTAAATAATTAAAGCTATTTTACATACATTTTAAAAATTTATTTTACTCTGTAAATTCCACAAATTCTTTACTTTCATGTATAATTTTCAATTGTATTATAACATTTGATTGTTGAATGAATTTAAATACGATAATGATCTTTTTTATTTACATTTTCATCACGTTCGTTGATAAAATGTACATTTTATAATTCATTATGCGAGAAAATAATGTTAGAATGAATATATTTTATATAATAGTAGACCCATGACACAATGACATCAACAATCA